GCTGGGGGATTGAACCGCGGTCCCTGATGCTTTTGCTAAGCTTGTTCTAAGTAGGTGCTTTAGACCACTGAGCCATCTCTCCAGCCCACTGAGCCATCTCTCCAGCCCACCTTTTAAGTTTTGAGGCTGAGTGTCACTAAGTTGGCCAGGCTCTCCAGGGACTTATAATCCTTCTGCCTCAGCCTCCAAAGTGGGTAGAATTACGGGCATGTGCCTCGCATCCAGCTTATTTCTGGACTTTCTATTCCATTCCACTGGTCTGCCTGTTCATACCTCAGCACCACTTTATCTCCCCAGTCAGTACCACATTGTTTTAATTAGAAATATTTTATTTTATTATTATTATTATTATTATTTTGCCAGCTCAGCCCTGCCCCGTGCTGATGTAGTAAGTGGTGCTGGGGAATCGAACTGTGGTCTCCTGCACCTGCCTAAGCTTGTCTGAGCAGCTGCGTTAGACCACTGAGCTATCTCATTGGCCCCAGAAAGACTTTATAATGTATCTTAATATCTGATAGAGGTAGACCCCTCTGGTAGTTTTTGTTTTTCTGGTATTTCTGAATGTTTTTACAGGTTTATTTTTCCATATGAATTTTAGTGTCAATTTATGATCTAGGAAACAATGTTTTGACATTTTTATTGTAATTACATTCAACATATAAATTAACTTGGAGAAAATGACAAATTTATTATATTGAGTCATCTTTTCCAAGAACAAAAGACTGGTGAGATCTGTCTTTATGCACATTTCCTGGTAGAATATTTCACTTTGGACCAGTCACAGCTCTACAGGAGTTGACTCGAAACAGCTGATGTGGGAAAGACCCCCACACCTGTGGCTAGCAGTTTTCTCTTCTGCCCTGGCCCAGCTTTGCTGTCCACATCTAGCCCTGAGGTGACTAGCCGTGTAGCTGAAACCTGAAGAAGCCCCAGGGACTCCTAGCTCCCTCACACCCTCCTTCTACAGGTGAGACACTGCCACTCCCCTGTCTACTGCGGCGCCTGTGCAATGCCCAGGCCCCCTCTCTGCTCTTCCTCACAATCCCAGCCCTGTTTGGTGGCTCTATGTGGTTAGCACCTCCTGTGTGCACAGATGCGTGGTTGTCCCTGGGCGGCCCCGGGTGAACCAGGCAGCGGTGAGCTGCTGAGATCAGAGACCAGAGCGACCTGGCCAAGGCCAGATCCCCTTACCCTCGCTTTCTTCCCTTTCTACCCTGCGGTGGGGAATAGGGATTAACTGGCCCGCTTTGGTTAACAGGAGTAGCGGAAAGCACCGCAGAATTTGGGGGTGCGGTGCCCCCTGCTCGGACCCTAGCTTCAGCCCCAAACCCAACGGAGTCCTGCTTAGGGCTGCACCTGCTGCCCTTGCCACCTGCGCTCCCAAGGCCCGCTCCTCGCAAGCGCTCCCTCTCCGGAGCAAATCACCTGCAGCAGTACCACGGGTCGCCTTTCCCTAAACGCACTCCCAAGCCAGCCCTGCCAGCATCAGCTCTGTCCACCCTAGCGCAGCGGCAGTGTGGAACCTCCTCGCGCCCACCCCAGCCAGGAGCTGTGTAGCCGGGAACCGCGAGCATCTGGCGGCTAGTGCCGCCGCCTGCCGGCAAGAGCTGCCATTACACCCTACCAGAGCAAAGCAAAGGCCCGGTCCATTTCTACCCTGAACCTGAACCCAAGAGAAGGCCTTCTGACAGTTTGTTGTTGTTGTTTTGTTTTTGCCTTCCATCCCTTACTGAGCCCCCTCATTCCTTAAAAAAAATGATTGATACATTTTAGATATACATAGTGATAATATTCATCATAGGGAATTTGTACCTGTATATGATAATATCTTCTTTTTTTCAAATTCCCCTTCCCTCCCTTCAACCCCTCTCCCCTCCTTATTTACAAAAGCTTTGTTGGCTGGGGAGATAGCTCAGTGGTCTACGTGCCTGTCTCGCAAGTACTGCATACCTGGCTGGCCCTAGAACCTGGGCGCATCAGCATTGTGTCAGCACCGTACACCAGGCATGGCGGTGCATGCCTCTAATCCCAGTGTTGACGAGGCTGAGATAGGAGGATCATGAATTTGAGGTCAGATTGGCCTCACCAAAAAAAAAAAAAAAAAAAAAAAAAAATCAGCAAGGGGATCTCAGCACATGGATGAGAGAATAGAAGCCTGAGAAGGAAAGGAAACTTTGCTGTGTTGGGCTAGTTATGGTCATTCAAAATCCTTGTGAAATGGATACCTTAAAAGCCAGAGAACTGGCCCAGGGAAATGTCAAAGATGACTTTTTTTTAAAGGGTAAAATCATAACTGTCATACAAATATAAAATGGACACAGGTCAAGCATTTTATTTATTCATTAATGAAAGAACCAATTAAAAAATAAAAACTGGTTCAGCAGAGAATCCCAGCCCCAGACACATATTTAGGCAATCAGGATTTCCAGAGTGAATTTTCAAGTTGGTACTAGGCTGGTGACTATCCCTGGAGTTATGAAATCTTCATTGTACAAAATTTATTTGCATCTTCATGGGCAAGAATCACTTGTTTTACTGTTTTCTACAATACACTGGGCTGTCAAATAACTCAGAGGACAAGGAAAAGTCCGGTCCTTTTAGAATCCGATGATTACTAGGATTATCAGATAACTCCACGACTTTATAATGTCTAAGAAGATCTGAAATTCAAACTCAATCCAGAGTTTGTCTCTCTGTGTTTCGGCTCTTCAGTTTGAGCCAAGTGGCTTCTGGACAGTGGAGGGTGCTCTTCTAGTGATTTGGGGCTTTGACTACTTTCACCCCCCATTAATCCCGAATCCCCTCAGGAATCTCCATCAGAGCCTGCAGCAACTTTTCTCGAAGACTCCAACCCCTTGTCATCTTGAGGGAGTTTTCTTCAGAGGTGTTGCCTGGAGGGCTTGGAGGCTGGAGCAGATGGCAGAGGAGCCTCAAGACTCCCCCAGCTCCCCGTTTTTGGAGGCGGTAAAGAAGAGACCTTTATAGCCCAGGCGCCAGTCAGTGCTTCACGTTGGGAGTTTGGGGGCGCTGGTACAGCCAAATGATACCCTCGTCATGTAGCCGTTTCCAGACCTCTCTCTCTAACTTGAAGTCATGGTTTATGTAAAAGATGAGTTTTTTCCATGTTTTATCATAATAGTGATCAGAAAAGCGCTCGTGGCCCTCGGTGATGAAGCCATAGGCGCTCACCTAGGTGAAGAAGTTCGGAGCAGAAACAGGGCTGCAGCGTCTGGTGTGTGAGTCTAGGGGCAGGTCGGTCAGGTGCGCATGCGCACTCCGCCCCCGCCCCCGGGAGAGCCCCAGCCTGGCCTCCAGCTGCTCCCCAGCTCCGTGTGCCCTGAAGCGCTGCCCTACCTTATCACAGAGCTGCAGGGCGGTGAGCAGCAGGAGCGCGCCAGTGGTGGGCCGATATATTCTCCAGTGGGTGGTGTTCAGGGTCTTGGATCTCAGAAACCTATAAAATGCCCCAGATCTCAGCTGTTGGGGATCTGCTGGGATGAGAGGGATGAGGTGGCTCCACCGGCTCTCCGCTCTCACCTGTTCTTCATGTAGCGCAGAAAGTCTGGGTGTAGCAACAGGTATTTGTCCATCTGTAAGGCTTCCCGGAAAGCTTCCTGGGGCCTGCGCCTGTGGTCAGGGACAGGTCACGCGGGCTCAGTTCTCTTAGCTGGTCTGAGAGGGTCAAGTCCAGGTCCCGGGCATGGTAGGTCCTCCATCTCTCTGCCAAGACTGTCCCCACCTGTCCAACCCTTTGTAGCCACTCGGTTCACAGTGCAGCCCGGGACGAGGACATGGAAGCAGGAAAGGGGGTACCTGAACCAGAAAAGGTTCTTTTTCACCAGGGTCTGATTCAGAAGCAGAGCTTCCAGCCACTCATAGTCCCGGGTGCCTTCCAGGAAGTGCAGGTAGCGAACGTCCTGGAGACCAAGGACAGCCAGGCTCAGCAGAGTGGCCTCGGGACCACGGGCTGGGCGGCTCACTCGCTGCTCCCTCACGCTCCGACTGCCCTCCCTGCGCTGGGCCCTCGTAGAAACTGAACCTGTACAGCCACAGCTCCGTCCACACGGGTGCCCGCGTCCCTCTCGGTCTGCAGGCTCTCCTACTTGGGGGTCTGCGCCTTCGGGCCCGTCCATTGGCTCACCTTTCCTACCGGCACGTGCCGGAAACCGCGGCTGCCCAGCGAGAGGAGCGACTGGGTCAGGGAGAAGGCCGTGAAGCCGTAGAAGGAGGTCCGGGTACCCACATCCTGCTCGTAGCCTTTAATAAGAGCTCCACTCAGTCTGTATAGACAGATAAAAGTCAGACCCAGCGGGACCAGGTGGTGCACACCTGTAATCCCAGCCCTCGGGAAACTGAGGCAGGAGGATCTCTGTGAGTTTGAGGCCAGCCTGGGCTACAAAGTGAGCTCAAGGCCCCTGAGCTGCATAGTGAGACCCTGTCTCAAGACAAAAAAAAAAAAAAATTAATAATAATAATAATTAGAACCCATGAGTGAAAAGTGGGATGGGGGAAGCAGAAGTTCCATTTGGCAATGTCCTGGAGAACCCAGGAATTGCCCCTTGTGGATAAATAGGGTCTCCCGTGAGACCCACGCCTGCAGGAGAAGGGCTGAGGGCCCAGCTCACCGGAACACGTAGTCGTGGCTGTCTATCTCCTGGCCTGTGCGGGAGCTGTTCAGGATGCCCCCGTTGCCCACCACGGCACAGGTGATGCAGTGGGAGCTCCCCCGAGGCAGGCTGGCGAGGAGCAGCTGCTGCTGGGGCACTGGTGGGAAGCGGCCCACAACCTTCTGCACCACTGGGACAAGGAGAGGGGTTCATTCCGAGCCCTGCAGAAGACAGGCGTCCGCGCCCATCCTGGAGGCCCCCAGGAAAGAGGTGGCCTGTGGAGACGAAGCCTGCAGCCCTCTGCTCGCAATAGCCTCCCTGGGGTGAGGACTCACGGGAGTGATTGAGCTCCATGAAGCCGAAGGGAGGTGCAAAGTGTTCTAGGCGCTCCCACTCACTCTGGTTGAAGCGGCTGGAGTCCAGGAAGAGAGTGAGGTTGGGCAGGAAGAGATTCTGGAGCCATGATGACCTGGAAGCCTTGACTTTCACTGAGTCAGGGCATGACTATGCGCAGGACGGTATACAGAGGTGAATCAGGGAGCGTCCGGCGGGCCAGCACCGGGGCAGGGTGGCAGGGGTTGGCAGGCACTGTCTCTGCTCCTCCCCCACCCCACAGCCAGGACTGCCAAGCCTCTCCACTGCCAGGGCCCGCTATGGTCCCAAGGGTGCTGAGGAATGGGTGTCACCGCCCTTAGGGCAGGTCCACCTTTGTGTGAGAGGTGGCCCCAGGCAGGGGACCAGTGTGCTGCTGGTGCCAGGCTCCATCTGTGATTTGAAGGCAAGGGTGCGTGAGGAAGCCTTGGGTGGTGTGGCTAAGTGTAGGCAGTTTTTCAGGGCTCAAGGAGAGTGAGGCTCTTAGGGTTGATTTGCAGGGAAAAAAAGTCCTTTCTGGGGACTAGGGCTTGGGTAGGAGGTTGGGGCCTTCACATCAGTTAGTCCTTGCCCCCTCCTCCAGCCGGAGGACAGGGATCCACATGTCAGACCCCAGAGCTGCTCACACTCTGCAGCCAGACTGGTGAGCTCCCTTCACGGGGCCCTCGTCTCTCACACCTTCCCCAGCTCTGGTGAGGCCGGGCAGGGAGGAAGGACTGATGGACAGAGCGGGAGCAGTGCAGGGCTGAGCAGGCCAGGCTGCCCTGAGGTGAGGAGGGAGGGGCGGCCATCTCTCTAGAGGGCCAGGAAAGGAGGGAAGAGATGGTCACATGAACTCACCGTCTGCAGACCCGCCACGTCAAAGCTGTACTTTTCCTCAAAGTCCCACCGGGGCTCCGACTTGAAGTTGGCAGCCTTCAATATTTGGGGTCCTGGTATGGCGGGGCGTGGGGAAGGTGTGGGAGCGCCCTGTGCTGCCTTCCCTTTGGCTGGGACAGCTGCTGTGGTCTTTGCTTGCTTTGTCTTCGTTGTCACTCCTCCTGTGGTGGCCAGTGCTTTGCCCTGCTGCCTGTTTAACACCCTTGTCTTTGTTGGCATTCCCTTCTGGTCCCCCTGACTCTGCAATGTCAATGCCGTTGTCCCCACCAGGAGTGGCAGTGCATCCCCCGGGGTTTTCTCTTCTCCCTGTCTCTCCGGCAGTGCTGCCATGGCTGCACTGGGCAGCGTCCCCTGCTTCCACTGTGGTGCCCGGGCACCCTCTGTCTTCCTGCTCCCTCTGACTGGGTGCGCTGTGGGTCCAGGGTCTGTGTCCAGGATGCCGTTCTTTTGCACTGGCTCTGCATGGATGCTTGTCCACTGTCGCAGGCTGGGAGCCAGGGACATTGAGTTTTGCAGTGACTTCCAAGCCCACCTTACATTGTTCCATGAATATTGATACCTAGGGACGTAGATAAGTTTGGTAAAGGCTGGAGACTATAGAAGCAGAGTGGAACTACTATTTACTCCTGCACCTCAGGCAAACTTCAAAGTACCTTCCACAGAAATTCCGCTGAGCCCTTTGTTTTTTTTTTAATTTGTTTTTTTTTTAAGATTTTTTTTTTTAAATGGTTTTATTTATTTATTTATTTATTGTGTGTGGCCTGCTCAGCCCACCAGGGGGCGGGGCTGGCTGGCATGTGGTGCTGGGGGATCGAACCGCGGTCCCTGTGCTTTGACCAAGCATGTTCCAAGTAGGTGCTTTAGACCACTGAGCCATCTCTCCAGCCCCCCCGCTGAGCCCTTTGGCCCTAGGTCTAGAAAGTTACCTCAGAGCGGTACAGACAAGTGAGCACTAGCAGAAGTTTGGGAGCCTGTACTGGATGCCAAGGAGGAAGCTGAAATTAAAGTACGTTTGTTAAAATATAGGGCATCTCTCGTGGAGCTGCGGGAGGTCTGCTGCAAAGGGGGAAGGCCATGAACAAGAGCAACCCGAGGGGGAGCCAGAAAGGTAAACAGCAGCCACACTGCTGGAGGAAGCGGCGCCCTCCCGGCCCACAGTGAGGAAGATCAGTGAAGAGCAACGACAGGGAAGCATGTTGGGACCCGGCATGGAGCAGGTACAGGGCCAGAGAATGGTTTGTACCATGCATTGAATCCACAGTTTACTGTTAATTTATTATTTGTCTGAGCAGGAGCAACTATTAAATTATGAACAGAAGCTGGGGAACAGTATTGAGGGACAGCTGCAGGTGGGGTACGATCTGATTTCCATTCTAGAATGATTTTTCTAGCAGCAATCATGGAAGATAGGTTCTGGGACCTGGTCTGAGTTCTGGTACACAGGTTTTCTGGCTTCAAGAATTGTGTTTTTCCTTTCTGATGTGTGTGTGAGGCCGTCAAAGACACCCCATCTTTAGACCGTTCGGTAGGGGGCGCTCTGCATGCTTCTCTCACTGTGCCTCCCTGCCAGGGTCCCTGTGCTATGCAGGGCTTTGCAAGGATTTCCCAAACAGAGCCTTAGGGAAGGTATGTTCCTCTGGGTGACCCTGGCTGCCATCCAGGCGACTTCTGTGTCCTCATTTGCCACTGTTCTGATCTGACTTTAGTGTCCCAGGTTCTCCTCTGTCTGCTTGTGCCTTTTTTTTTTTTTCCACCAGGGACCTTATGCTTTACCAGTCAGGTGCGTGTGCCACTGAGCTCTCTCTCTGGCCCCATTTCTTTATTTTGTGGTACAGAGGATCCCACATGTTATTTCAATCAATGTCAGCTGTTTTTATTCTTTGTTTGGAGCCACAGTCTCACTAAGTTGCTCAATGATCCAGGCTGATAGGGGCCGGGGAGATAGCTCAGTAGAATGAGCGCTTGCCTGGCAAGCTCAAGGGCCTGAGCTCAATCCCCGGTTCCGGAAAAAAAAAAAAAAAGATCTGGGCTGAGCTTAAATTGGTGATCCTCCTGCCTCAGCCTCTCAGAGTGTATGTGCCACCACGTCTGGCCCGTTCCTCTTCTGAGCCACGTGAAACTGACTTACCATGGCAAAAGAAAAGAGCACCGACGCAGCAGCCAGGCTAACCTGAGTGAGTCTGAGCACTTGCATTTATTAGCTCCAGTGACCTGGAGACTTGGTTTTCCTAGCTATAAAATGGACTGCTGCCCTGATTCTGAGAGAAGTTTTCTGAGCATTAACCTACACCATGCCCAAAGCATCAGGTATAAAATGCACCCTCAGGAAGAGTAATTCTTTTCCAGGGTTCTGTACAAGGGAGAGGGGGGCTGCTCACCCGCTCTCCAGCTGCTCTTGTTGTTCTCACTCTTGACCCCACCCAACTCAACAGTTGCCATTCATTCTTAGATTCAGCGAGTATTTATTGAGAGCTTTGTATAAGACTATAGCTTACAGTGGCACTGTGGCTCAAAAACCAAATTTGTAAGGGCTGGCCAGATAGCTCAGCAGATTAAAGTGCCTGCTTAGGCAGACGCTGGGGCCAGGGGTTCGATCCCCGGGTATGTCATGTCAGTCCCGCCCCCCCTCCAGGGCATGCTGAGAGACAAATGGACCGGGTGTGGTGGTGCAAGCCTGTAATCCCAGCACTTGGGAGGCAGAAAAACAGGAAAGATCACTACAAGTCTGATCTGTGTAGTGAGACCCTGTAGCCCACATACTAAATACATTATAAAGAACAAAGAAAAGGAGGAAGAGGAGGAAGAGGAGGAGGAGGAAGA